GTTCTTAAAATGTACTCACTTTCCATAATGTTAGCGTCTTAACCAGATATCTTACAGAGCTGTTGACTGAATTTAGGAGAGGTAGGAAAAGCACAGAAATAGTAACAGCCGTTGGTTGCTTATTTACTATGTGCCAGCTCTGTCTTTACTGCTTTACTTGTATTAATTCATTTCCTCCTCACAACAACCAGATGTGGTGGGTACTATTGTTATCCCTATTTTTACAAATGAAGAAATTAAGCATAAAGAGATTCAGTAAGTTGTCCAAGGTTACCCAGGTAACGGGCCAGAGCCGGGATTAGAACCCTGGCAGTCAGTTTGAAAACGCACACGCTTCCCTAGGATATACTGCCACTCTAAGAAGGTGACAGCTGAGCTGTCAGTAGAATGAGTGGAGTCTCAAAAATGGACAGAGACTTTCCAAGGAGAGGGAACTATAAACTTGACTAGATGCATCAAAATCAGTTGTTTGAAAAAACAGGTTTTAGGCCCCCCACCTCCTAGCTCTGAGAAGTCCAATTGTAGAACAACTGTGGCTTCCATAGCAGGAGGATTCTCAGACTCCTAGGGGTCTGGGTAATATTGTAAAAAAAAAAAAAAAAAAAATTAGTAGAAAAATACATTAATTGACAGCAGGACCATGAGGGAACTGATACTGACTTTAAATTTTTGGCTGGTGCTTTAAAAATTTAGTGTTGTGAAACAGCTTTCTCATGCAAAAGCAGTTTAACAGTTCTGGTTGGTAGTTATTTTTATGATTAATTAAAAACAGGGAAACAATTTTAACTTAATAAGTATGGTTGATTTACTCATTTCAAAGCAGTGGCGGTAATTAACATGAGGAAGTCACTAGTGCAGGAAAGAGGCTATATTCTGCTTCCGCTAAGACCTTGTTTCTCCTCTTCGCCTGCGGGCTTCTGCGAAGGCAGAGCTGGAGTCCAGTTAGGATGAGAAGGGATCAGTAATTCTCCACTTAGAGGGGGTTTTTTTGTTTGTTTGTGTTTGTTTTTGCTTATTTGCTGAGAATTTAATGGATCATTAATAGGATGAAACTTTTCTGACATTGCATAGTGGTCCCTGGTGGTCAGCAGCGAGAGTGAGAGAGAGTGCGAGAGAGGGAGGGAGGGAGAGGTTGGGGGAGGGGAGAGAGAATCCAAGCCTTTCCAAGTGATCTGTTAATTAGTTTGTCTCCACTTGAACATAATGACTCCTGGAGGTTATGTGCCATGTGGAGCATCCCCAGTGTATCTGAATACAGCCAAGAGAAGAACCTGAGACGGAACACTGAACGTGGTTCACTGGGCCTGGCCCCGAGCCTCACAGATGTGTCTTCAGCTTGGGGCTCTGTTTTAAGTCTGGCCACATCTCCCAGGTCTCCCTCCTTTCTTGCATCTGGCTGTCAGGACTTAGCCCGCTTCTGATTCCTTTTTCAAGTTACTGCCCTCATTCCACTCCCTCAGGAGTTTTAACCCCAAGGTGGGTAAGCCGCTCCCCTGAGGTCAAGGTACATTTCATTCTGATACCAGTCAGAGGGAGCACCAGGAATTAAAAAAGAAAGAAAGAAGGGAAAAATAGGGGAGCATCACAGAGTATGAAATCTTACACAATCTTTGATGCCGTAAACCTTGATCTCTAACTTTGGTTCTCAAACTTGGCAGGCATGAGACTCCCTTGGTGGACTTGTGGGCCCCACTCTCAAAGTCTCTGGTTAAGAAGGTTTGGGGTGGAGCCTGAGAATTTGCTTTCTTAACAGCTTCTCCCATCTCCCTGGATTAGTCTGGTCTTTGCCTGTAATGTAGCCCTTTATTATTTTACAATTGTTGTTTGTTAAGTTTTGAGTCCCTTTTTAATCAGAATTTCTTAGCAGAAGCCAAAGGGTTTAAACCCTCTAGCATTTATCATACTTAACAGAGCATGTGGTCAAAACTTTGTACTTGCTAGCCTATTAAAATTTTTAGCCAAATAAACAGTTCATTTTTCAGTGCATAATGTTTTTTTTTAACTGTTTTTTTTCCCTAGGTATTTAATACAAGGTTGTTCAAAGTCAAAGAAAGGCATTTGTTTCTTACCTATTTAGGAAGAGCACAGTATGATCCAGCAAAACCTAACTACATCTCTTTGGACAAACTGGTATCTATGCCTGATGAAATATTTTGTGAAGAGATGGCCAAGGCCTCAGTACAGGACTTTGAAAAATTCTTAAAAACTCTTTAGTTTTTGATGAATGTTAAAATGTAATAATGTAAATGAATGTATATATGAATAAATTAATATATTTTAAAATAAATGCCTTAAGCCTCAATTGATATTGGAAACAATTTCTTGTTACTGTAAATTTGGGTACACTTTTGGTGGATGTTTCTTACAAGTTCCTGGTAGCGTAATTCACCTTTGACTCAACGATTTCCTTCCTTGGGAAAGAGAGAACTGAAGATACAGCAAGCTTAGAGAAAGAGAGTCATTGTACTGGAGGCTGGTGTATTGCCCCTCTGGTGAAGATGAGAACAGTAAGGGATTATCCTCTTTATTTTCAAGGTCTTTTAAAGTGGTTTCATCACAAGACAGCTCTATTTTCTTTGAAATGTTAGGAGCTTCTGTAGCATAAAGTATTACCTACGTAATATACTACTCACTTAGATAATGCTACAAAACACAGTCGATTTGCATTAGCTACACTGTTACGTTCCTGAGCACAGATATTCATAGTTGGCCACAGCTGGCTGCTAAGAATCAGGAAAGGACAAGGGATAGGGACGACAGTAGTTTGAAAGTAAGCAGTGAGACCAGGTAAAAGGCCATAACAAAACTTTGACTTACTGCCAGTGTGTAAAGATTTATAGCATGAATTGATACTTTTTTTTCCATTTACCATTTAGACATATAATTCTGAGCAAGTGATTTAACCTCTGAGTCTGATTCTTTATTTGTAAAATGAGGCATCATGACTTCGGTTACCTGCCTTGGGGGTCACAAGATTGAGTAGACTTAATACTGGTGGCCCCCAAGGAACCATACCTGGTATTTGCACTTGTGTTGTAGTCCCCTCCCACACTGACTCTGGGCTGGTGCACTCTGGTTCATGGGACACTTGCACATCTGTGCTTATCCTCTTGGAACCTTGAGCCAGGATTTTTCTTGGCCCAAGCATCACAGGACCATCCCTAGCTTTAATGGGGGCAGAGAAGTGCAATCCTGCCATATGCCTGGAGGAAAACCAAAAATAATTTTTGAATCAATACTAATGATTATCAGCAAACATCCAGGCTCTCTAGACTTAATACCTGTAGGAGCTGGATTTTGCGGCAGTCTTGGGTATCTGATCCCTCAGCAAGGTCTTCCTTCTCACTGTCTTCACCCAGGAACCAGCAAACTGAAACTTGAAGGGTAAAAAGGAAGGGAGAAGAGTTTACTGAGTACTTCCTGTGGCAATATGCCAACTTACAAGTGTATTGCATTTCTTCATATCTCAGACTTGACTTTGGCTGGTGTAGTCTGGGAGCAGCCATTCATCACTTCTTAGTACTATGTGTGGCACTGAGTAACTTGAGAAATTGCGGGGCACAGAGAAGGGAGAAGGCAACAGAATTTTAGAACTGGATTGTGACTCAGATCATCAGATCTTTTGAATTTACAATTATATGGAATTCTGTACTGTCCTAGGTCTCAGGATGGAAGAAAAAGACATTGTGGGTAGTTGCTATGGACTGAATTGTCCCTCCACCTCCAAATTCACATGTTGAAACCCTAACCCCCAATGTAATGGTATTTGGTTGGGGCCTTTGGGAGATAATTTAGGTTTAGATGAAGTCAAAAGGTTGAGACTTCCATGATATTAGTGTCCTTATAAGGGACAAAACAGAGTGCTCTCTCCCTGCCATATGAGGACATAGTAAGAAGACAGACCTCTACAAGCCATAGGAAAAGAGATCTCAACTGAAACTGACCATGCTGGTATCTTGATCTCATGCTTCTAACCTCCACAACTGTGAGGTAATCAATGTGTGGTTTTTAAGCTACCCAGCTCTATGGTATTTTGTCATGGCAGCTTGAGCTGACCAAGACAGTAGTGCTGATAGAAGTTCATCAGTAACTGAGTGAGCTATCAGTTATCTTAACTACAACTGTTTTCTGTCCCTAGGTATTCCCTCCCACCCCGCGCCAACTTTTCAAATCTCTTTAATATATCTGGAACTTATTTTAGCGAAAAGGGTAGAGAGAGGGTCGGACTTGCCCCCTTTCCACCCCGCCCCATGTCTACTAATTAACCAATTATTTTGTTCTGCATCCTTTAGTAATAACTTTTCTCCCTCGACAATTTGTGATACGGCTGCCCCTAGTTTTTCGTACGTTAGATTTAACATGTTGGGACTGAGACCTTAAAAGTGTACTTGCTTTTACCTTAAAATTGCATCCAAATTCTGCTATGCATATTAGATTTAATAGTAAACATTTTTTTTTCTCAACTAACCACTAAAATACTTGATGTAGAACTTCACCTAGAGAAATTGAATGTCATAGAGGGTTGGTGTCTCTGGGATTAGTGGTGTAGCATATGGCCCTAGAATTAAGGAGTGCCAAAGTTTTATCTGAGTCCTTCAGATTCTGGAAGATGAATCTGAATTTCTCCTAGCTTATGTGCCCTTGGACAATTTATGCAACCTTTCTGAACCTCGGTTTCCTTTTCCCTACAGTGGTATAATCATAGTAGCATTCATTTTACAGATTCGTAATTAAATGAAAATATGCCCACAAAACGCTTAGCGTGTTCTTTGGCACAAAGGGCACAATAAATACTGCCGAAACTCTCAGAGCTCGTCAGTAACAGAACCCAAGGCTAAAGACCTGACGTCCTAATTCCTTGCCTAGTATCTTTCCCATTATGTCACAAGGAATGCGTCTTGCAACTGGGCGGGATTCCAAGCCTACCGGATTAGTACAGCCCTGACGGACAGGCGCGCTCTGAGGTGCCGAACGTCGGACGCCAGAACTGCGCCTGCGCGAGCGTCCCCCTTCGCCCCGCGACGTGACGTGAAGCGCCTGCGCTCTGGGCCCTGCGCGTCCTCTAGGACTTACCCAGCAGGCAACGCTTCTGTCTCGGGTCAAAATGGCGGGCAGGCCTGCCGGTAAGTGAGCGGCGTCCCGGTCGGCGGGCATCGCCGCGCTCAACCTTTTATTCTAGCAGCAACTTGCTCCTCTTCCTCTGTTTTTTCTAAGTGGCAGGTTTGCGGCGTAAGGGAAGGCGGCGGCTCCGGCCGGCCTAAAGGACGTCCTGGCCCCACCCCCTTGCTGTCTCCTGGCCGGGCTCGCCCGGAGGGTTGGGATGAGACCTGCGGGTGGTGAAGGTGCCCGCGGTGGCTCTCACAGCCCTGGCGTTCGGGCAGCGCGTGCTGCGCAGTCCTTCCCCTCGGCCTTAGGAGATTCAAGGGCATCAGGAGACAGTTAGTGGCTGACCCAACCCAAGTGAACTGAGTGCTCGCTGTGAGCCAAGCGCTGTCATGTGCGTTGTCAGTTCGATGCATTTTCCTGCCCGCGCGACAAGGACGGTATTAATTTCCCTTTTACGCTGATAAGATAACTGAGGCAAAGTGACCGGAAGAAATAGGATTGGAAACCTCACTCCATCCCTCGCGCTTCTCCTACTGGGAATTAGAGCAAGGGTTACGGCAAAGCTTCAGGTTAACCTTGGCTGATCTGGAACGTCAGCTTGATCTGTGCATTTGGAGAAATTTGTATTCATTGTAGGCATTAGAACAAACGTATTTGTCATGGAATAGGATGCAGAAATTACCGGAATATTTAAAACAACGTGAACATCAAATACGGTTTTCCGAATTTTTTTTTATTTTTGCCAATCCCTGCCCTCTGGCGGTATAAATTGAAATAGTTTTTTTAAAATGTTGGTCCCTTTTCTCTCTGCCCCCAGAGCAATTGTGAAGCTATCAGGAAACGTCAGCTTGCCAGAAAAATTCGTTAACCTAAATGACATTGAGCTTTTTGTGGGTGGGAGAAACATTTAAGAAAACATTATTTCATTAACTTGACAAATATTGACGGCATTCTGCTTCTGTGCTGTGTTTGGAAAGCAGATAGGCCTGGCCTCAACCCTAACTGCCTCTAATCTCGGGTGGGATAACTGAGTAAGCCTTATTCCTCTTCTGCAACGACAGGCGAGTTGTAAATAACCCGAGCTAATGAGGGTAAAGCAAATAGGATAGTGCCTGACACACAGTAAGTTCAGTGAATGTTAATCATCACCATCACTGATAAATATGTTTACAAATAAGTTGTCTCTTGCAAGTATGTTTATAGATTGTTGACTGTTTGTTAGTTATTTTTCTAAAAGCAGTGTTACACGTGGTGCTTAATTTCCAGGGAGTTTTACTAAAGCCCTGTAATCTGTGATGTGCTAAGGAGCAGGGAACAAGGAGAGGTTGGAGTAAAAGGAAAATTTGCTTTCCTTCTTTGGTAAGGGGCTAGCCCTAAGACAAAGTTTTAAGGGAAATTTGAACTTGGCATACCTCCCCTTCTATACCATAGCTCTTCTATAAACATCAGGCACAATGATGTTGCCCTTAGTACCTACCGGCTAACCCATTAGGCTCAGTCCTGTTCCCCAAAGAGTTTTAACTGTACATATTTCTCCTTGTTCATTCCCTTGGTGTAAAGTTAGCTGCTTGGGAGAAGGAAAATGGGCTTCTTTTACTAGTCCATATTGATATTAAATGACAAAATCCTAGAAATACATGTATTTCTAAGAGAGTAAGTAACCAAGTGAAATAAAGGTAATGTAGAATAAAAATTTGGGGGGTGGAGGGTGGGGATAGGGGTCATTTAGACCTACCTGCATATCATGAAATCTCACCTTTTCATAAAACTCCAACTCCCTTGAAAAGTTTAGTTTTTCCTGTAATCTATTTCTGAAACAACAAATGATGGAGAAGTTCGTAGTTTCTTTTCCACCCACCCCTTCAATTTTGATGATAGCGGAGGGACATAAAGGAATAGGGTGCTTGACTTTGAGAAGTGAGGGTGGCAGTACATTTGGCCCTCCGTGTCCCCAGTTCCACATTTGTGGATTAAGCCAACCTCCTGATCGAAAATCTTTGGGAAAAAAAATTCCAGAAAATTTGAAAAAGCAAAAACTTGAATTTGCTGCTCTTGGGCAACTGTTTACCTAGCATTTACTTTGTATTTACAACTATTTACATTGTATTAAGTATTATAAGTAATGTAGAGATGATTTAAAGTATACTGGAATGAGGGAAGGGCATATATCAAGTGGCAGAGCGAATGCTCAGCACCCAAGAGGTCACGGGTTCAATCCGCAGTACCTCCTCCAAGTGGATATCAATGAAGAAGCCTAATTACCTCCCCCTCGTAACACAAACAATAGAAGCTAAAGTATACTGGAAGATGTGCTTAGGTTATATGCAGATACTTCACTATTTTACGTAAGGGACTTGAGCATCTCAGATTTTGGTATCTGAGGAGGGTCCTGGAATTAATGTCCAGTGGACATCGAGGGACTGTAATTGTACCTATGATCTTTTGTATATTTGATGTTTCAGTTTACCCTTTTTCCCCATGACTTACTACCTGATTTTTTACCTGCAGTCACTTTTGTTCATAGATAAAGTAAGCAATTTTTATCTACAGTATATACAGTATATCCTTTTAAAAGAAATTCCTTCCTGTGTTTGTGTTCTCTAATTGCTTCCACACGGTATAAGTGAATTGTTAGCAGCTAACAATGTGACAATATCAGTTGCAGCATCAAGCCGGTGGCTGGATGGTATTCGAAAATGGTATTACAATGCTGCCGGGTTTAATAAGCTGGGTGAGTATCTGTGTTTTCTTCTGCTTTTCAAATGTTAAAAATGTCTGACATCGTTGCAATTATTTGATGCCTGAACTTTTTTTAGAACTGTGTACTTGGCCATGAATGTCATCTTGTGTAATTGAAGCCTGATGGAAGCATCATTGAATGTTACTGATTTCCTTAGTACACTGTCCTTTTAAGGTTCTTTAATACCTTGATGTCAGAATTAAAGTATAAGAAAGTAGAGATGTGGTTTATTGATATGTGTTTAAAAACAAGGTAGACATTTTAACTTTTTAAAATTACTGTAGATAAAATTGGTAAAAGTAGATTTTAAAAGGCTCATATTGTTTCAATAGTACCATTTAAGAAATAACCCATTTTACTGTATATGAAGTGCACTGAGTTTCCATCGTACTTAACTGTTTATATTTCACCCAAGTTAATGACTTAAGTTATAGCTCATAAAAATGTTTCACTCATTTTTTAAAAAATTCCCTAATTTGAAATGAATATTTAGTCTAACTCTGTTGTTTTCTATCATAGGCTTAATGCGAGATGATACAATATATGAGAATGACGATGTAAAAGAGGCCATAAGAAGGCTTCCTGAGCACCTTTATAACGAGAGGGTGTTTCGCATTAAGAGAGCACTGGACCTGTCCATGAGGCAGCAGATCTTGCCTAAAGAGCAGTGGACGAAATATGAGGAGGTAGAAGAAGAGCTTTTATGTATCTGATAATGTTGGCTGTTAAGGATTGAGCATTAGAAACAGAAGCACATTCATTTGTATAGCACTTTAGTGTTCTTAAAGTTGTGTCAAACAAATCATATCCTTATGACAGTCTGGTGAGGTTAGTAGAGCAAATGTTAGCTCCGTATTTCAGACATAAACACACTGAGCCGTAGAGGTAACGTGACTTCCCAAATCGCTAAGCGGGTCTCTGATACGGAGATCAGGACTGGAATGCAGGTCTTCTGCGTCCCAGGTGGTGTTCTCCCTCTGCAGTCTGCTTTCTGCTCAGATGAAAAAAAAATGGTGGTGCTCATGGGATCAGCCCGTTGAGCGGCCTTCTGGCTCCCAGAAGGACTCTCTGAAGCAAACTCTTTCCCCTGGAGCTGCATTGAAATCAGGCCAAACCTTTAGGCTCTCATTCCTTTTTCTTCTCTGACATACTTTCCTCTAATAACCTGTCAAGGCAGCTTGTGACAATATCTTTGTGAGTTTTTACATTTTAGGAAAGCAGACAGTTTTTAGTCTGCTTGAAAATATATTTTCTTAAGTTGGAAATTAATTTTGATGGAGTTCTTCTGTTTAAGATTTAATGAGTATTTGCAATATATGAGTATGTGATGGTGGCATATAATATATTTTTTATTTATTCTTTAGGATAAATTCTACCTTGAACCATATCTGAAAGAGGTTATTCGGGAAAGAAAAGAGAAAGAAGAATGGGCAAAGAAATAATCATGTAGTTGAAATCTGCAGATGCCGCTGTCCTCAAAATATTTTTATGAAGTTGGTTAAACCTGAAATGTACAACTTAGAACTATCTGGGTATAAATGTATTACTTTAAATAAATATCTATTATAATTATTGTTGGAGTTTTGGAATTCTAAACCTTATTCTGAGTAACTACTGAATTTACATATCTGTGACAGTTCTTTCCAAACTTCTAAAATATTTTTCAGTTAGTGGTTAACTGCCTCCTGGAGCTCAGAGGAGCCACTTGAATCCATTTTCTTCACTGGTTGGATAACTTTTTAATTTACTGAAGTAAATCACATCCTTCCAAGTAGAACAGTCCCATTTGTATTGTCTTTGTAGGTTAGCAAGACACTTAGAAGGGCCTCCCTTACAGGGATGGATGGAGTAAGAAATCAGTGGCTATTTGACCTGAAGCAAACTGCGCAAGCAGACTGGCTCTCAGACTTTAAAAGTTACTCAGTGAAAGAGAGGACTCACCCCCTAGGTTGCCAGGATTGGAAGACAGCCTTTTCCAACCACTACTCTCCAAGTATAATTGATTTTACATCCTATCTTTTAAAAAAAATTATGCAACCCCTGTATGCATCTGTATAAATTATATATATATATATATATATATATATATACATGCACCTGTGTTAATATGTGTATTAGAAAACAAAAATAGGCCTTAGAAAAATAAACAAAAATATGAACACAAATCTTACTTTCTTCCCAGTGACTGTCCCACTTTGAAAGTGGTTGTTAAAAGTATATTTTTAAGAATTGGATACTAGTAATATTTAAAGGTCTACTTTTTAAATATAAATTTGAACCATTCAGTAATGTCATCATTCCCACCCCTAAATTTTAAAATGCCTTCTTTGGTGGAAGTGTGGAACCACAGCGAGCGGGGAAGCAACTGTGTGGAGCCTGCAGACTACACGGTGTTCCACAAGCCACTGCTGTGTGTTGGGGGAATATCTGATTGGGGTCTTACCTTGAAGAACAAAACAACAGAGTGGAAAGCAAGTTTTGTGTGATAGAGCGTACCCCAGGGATTATTGCCAGTTCAGTTCCAGACCCCCACAATAAAGCAAACATCAAAATGAAGTGGGTCACGAATATTTTGGTTTCCCAGTGCATGTAAAAGTTATGTTTATAACTGTAATCTATTAAGTGTGCAAAAGCATTATGTCCAAAAAAAATGCATATAATTTTAAAATATTTTGTTGCTAAAAAACCCTAAACACCATCTAAGCCTTCAAGTTGTAGTAACATCAAAGATCACTTGTTATCATAGCAAATAACAATAGTGGTAAGTTTGTAATATTTCAAGAATTGCCAACATGTGACAGAGACATGAAGTTCCAAATGCTATTGGAAATTGTGCCAATAGAGAATGTCTAAAATTTTGCTAAAATATTAGAAACCCTCATTAAAATCTTTGAGAGCCTCTCTTCTCTTGATACTCAGGTTATTTTCTGAAATACCTATCCTGAAATCATTGTCGATTTTTTGGTCTGTCCAAGCTGCCCAGATTCTCGTTTGATAGTGGTTTTGGTCATGATAAAAGCAGTTCTTCAACATGCTTGGTATTTTTGTAAAATTTGTGATTTGACTTTGCAATCGAATTACGCTGTCAGAACAGTATTGCAAAATCACAGAGAAACTGAGAAATGTAGGTAAGTGCTGATGGTAAGGGATTATTTACTTAAGCATCTGCTGATTAGTAAACACTTTTGTGTCATGATGCTTCCCTATTAGACCTAACAAGGTAACTGAGATAAATTCTCAGATAGCAAAGGACTGCCATTGTTTCAATGCTCCAGTTTCTTCTCTCAGATCTTTTCAAATAAGTTTGAATCCCATATATTGCTGGTGGGTGTTATATTCATAAAACCCATTTGGCTCATCGTCCTGTAGACAGAATTAAAAAAAAAAAAGTCAGAGCCAATTCTGAGTTAGACTGCCCAGACCTGAAGCCATTCACATACGGGGTAACCTTAGGAACATAGTTTAACCTTCTGTGTCTCTTCCTCAGCAATAAAATGGGGCTAATGATAACCTACTTTACAGGATTGTTATGAAAATTAACTGACTTCATTATATGCCAAGCACTCAGCTCCTGGCACACAGGACTATTCTGACTTGCTAAAAGGTTCAGTAACAAGAATAAAAACTGAGCCAAAGCCCAAAGTTCCTATAGTCATAATCTATGTTCACAAACAGGATGCTGTTTTGTTAATACAGGCATCAAATACGTGGCTTTAAAAATAACCAAAATATTCAGAATTTAAAGGTTAGGAACATAAAAACTGTATTAACCAAATCCTTGATGGCCTGGCGGGTGAAGTGCAAATGGGTTTACCCATTTGACAGGAGTTTTAGGAACCACAGTATCAGAGGTGACTACCTTTAAAGGGTGAATGGGACGTTTAACAGGAAAAAGATCCCTTTATTGGAATAGGTACTAAGTTCAGCCAGTAGGTGGTGATGCACTACAACTTTACTGTGTAAAGGTACATCACACCAGCATTACTGAAGATTTATCCATTCTGTACCCCCACCAACTCCCTCCCCTTCATTTTTCAGGATGACAACACCTTAGAGGTTTATGGCCATCAGGAGAATTTACTACTAAGCTATATACTGATGTAATGAAATCTAATATATACTGTGCAATGAATTATGAGATGTTATTTAGTTTCAGGATTTTATTACTTCAATCAGTTTTGACCATATTTCCTTTTATATGATTGCTCACTCTTTAAACATACCAGATGACTGTATAAGGAACACCTAATAAAGTCGATAGATATTAAAATATATATGTTTTAATTTATTTGCCATAATTTGTTTAAATTCTGGTTATACTGGTGTTCATATTAAAAGCCATAACATGTTAGAATCAGATCTCAGGTCAGATGGTGCCTCTGAATTATATTTTGCTAAGGAATTTCATTGTATGTATTAACAACTGAGCAGGGAAGAAGAACTGAGTCATTACAAGGTCGTTAATTTTTAGCATAGATTCCAGAAAGCATGTTAATATTTGAGTGGCTTATGTATTATGACAAATTATTTAAAATGTTATTCTGGATTCTGGCTATACCTCTTCTGCAGTCAAAAGAATGTATTATTTATTTAACTTTGTATTTTAATACATTTGCCTATTTTTGCATAAATGCCAAGAATGTAACTTCAAAATAAATCCCTGTGAAACTTCTGGTAACATTACTCAATTGAATTATTGCTAGAATAGTATTCGAACTATTTTAAAGAAAATTTTATACTTACACATGAAAATTGTATTAATAAGTCAAACCTAAAAAAATGATAATTATTTATTTTACAAGAGTCCGCTTTTAATTCTTTTCTTATGCAAGCATTTAAAATATGATTTGCCGCTAAACTAGAAACTCAGATCTGACGCCAACAATTTAGGCAAGTCATTATCCTTTAAAGACTGGGGCTCCTCAGCTACAAAACGAAGTGGTTTATGAAATGAGTTTTTATTTCAGGACCAAAATATTCCAGGCCAGTGTTTTTAATTTATGCACTTACTGTTAGGATGAATTAATACCGATGGAGTATCAGCTTTGTACCAGGCACTGTTCATAACGTCTTTTTTAACCTTCCCTGCAACTTTCTGGCATAGGTAGTGTTACACCCACTGCATGGAAGAAGAAATTGGGCTTCAAAAGGTCATTTTACCCTTGTTCGCGGTGTAGTTAAAAGCCCTTTTTGGTCTGTGCTTTTTACGTTTCACGCTAGGCAGAAGCTAGGTGTAGGGTAAGATTTCTGAACATCGGCACTATCACAATTCTGGGCAGGGTAAGTCTTTGTTGTGGGGCTCCCCTGTACATTGTCGGGTGTTTAGCAGTATCCTGGTTTTCCCCGTTATGACAACCAAAGATGTCTACAGACATGGCTAAATGTCCCCCTGCGGGACAGCATTGCCTCCAGTTGAAAAGTACCAGTACAGGGGATACAAAGAGAAACCAAGATGGTGGAGACTGATAGCTAAATAAATATATGAATCTGTAAATATATGTAAACAAATGTGTGAATTTTCTGTAAAATTATATGCACTGGGTGTTACGGAAACATGGAGAAGGGAAAACTAATTCAGCTGGGCAGGTGATCAGAGGAGACCCTCTGACAACTGAGCTGATTCCAAAAGAGGAAGCAAAGCCAGTCAAGCCAAGAAGGCGGTGAAGGAGGAAAATAAACCGGAGATGCTCAGAGGCCCGGAAGTGCAGGGCATATGCACAGGGAAGAACAGGTAGCTTCATGTTGATGGAGTAGAAAAACATCAGCTGGAGGTGAGGGAGGTGAAACTCGGAAGGTATATGCCCCATTGAGGTACCTGTGCAAGAGAGTGCTTGAACAGATTCAAGCAAGTACAAGTTCCCAGAATTTTGAAGCTGGCTTAAGGGGAGTGAATTTTAAAGTTTCTCAATACTGAGCTGCCAATTTGCTTTTCAAGACTTTGTGATAATTTACACTCCTCTAAGCAATTCATGAAGGCCCTTTTCTTTGTACCCTGGCCTGCACTGAGTATTCTCATTAAGAACAATCTTTGTGAATTTGTTTGGAGAAATTTTCTTGTTTAAATTCGCATTTCTTGGACTAAGTAGTTAAACAATGTTCCATATGCCGCTATCCAGTTGTTTTTCCTCCCTAATCAGTCTTGTTCATGTCCTTTGCCTGTGCGTCTGTTTTTATTTTCACAGCATTTTCCTTAATTGTTTAGTTTTCTTCTCATTTCCCTCCTCCCCCAGATTTGGGTCAGTTCTTATCTATTTGTAAGAGAATTTTATATATTTAGACAGTTCTCCTTTTACTTAAATTTGCTGAAATGGTATTTTCTTATTTTGTTGTTTGACTATATTTTGGTTGTTTTTTGATGCCTTTTCAATTTTTCTCATGGTGGTTTTTGTCAAATGGAAGTTTCCAGTTATTATGCAGTACAATCTATCAGTCTTCTCCTCTGTGGTTTTGCCTTTAAGTCATGATTTGAGAAGTCCTCCCTTTACTCTAAGTTATATAAATATCCAGCGAGGTTTTCATCCAGGACTTTTAGCTGTAAGAAGTAAAACCATAAATCTTTAATCCCTATGGAATTAGGTATATGGTGTGAGAGAGTATATTTTTAGAGATACTAGGAGGTCCAATTGGCAAGGTTGGATGATCGATTACATGTGTAGAGGGTGGTGGTGGGAGGTAGAGAGGAAAGTGAGGAGGGGGATCCCTTGAAGATGCAGGCTGGTAATCAGCCTCTTAGATTGTTTGCTGTGCTGGAAATTCCAGGTCCACTCTGCACATCTCCAACCTGCTCTGCACCCCGGAGGCTGAGCTGTATGGACTGCATCAGTAGACACCCTTGCCCTTTGGCTTCTGGCTTGGGCTTGGCCAATGGGAAGTCACATGCAGATAAGGGCAATCAAGAAGAGAGACCAGGGTATTTATTCCCCCATCCCACCCCTGCTGGGCTGTGGGCTGGCAGCCCC